CCTCTTTTCTAAGCTGAAGTGAATAAACCACCATTAGATGCTGCAGTGCTTTAAAATTATTTTTAACCAACGCATCTGTAAAAGTTCCAGACATTGTAATGAAGCATATTTAAATGGTTTTGCATCTAAACAAATGCATTCTCTATTTGCATGATGTGTAAAATCTGAATGACAGTTGCATTCTGTCTGAAAGGAGAGAACAGACATTTTCATTATAAAATGCAGTCAAGCAGAAAAGTAGCAAAGCGAGCAGAAATTCCCATTTACAGCTATGATTGAAGCATTACTTCAGCCGGGGGGGGCAAGATTTGAGAATAGCCCAGTTTTATACAGTTATGCAACAGAACATTTTATGACCTGAAAGGTTTGTTGGACACTTGGTTTTGTTGGCAGCATCCCTTGAGTACACAAGCTCAAGGCTCAGTTGCATGCGTTTTAGACTAACTGAACTATTGACTGCTTCCTACCATTTCATTAGGCTTTCTTTTGTTTGTCTTGTCTGTCTTAATTGTACATTATATCATTTCTATAGTTCATTATAGCATTGAAGCAGATGTTGCTCCCTTGATTATACATTAAAATGTACTAAATTGTTATTTTTAGGCTTTTGTCTCCAGAATTTGTCAGGTGTTAGAGCTTTGAGGAAAAAATATCATGCTGGGATGTATTAGCAGGAGTGCTGTGAGCAAGACACAAGAAGTCATTCTTGCATTCTACTCTGCATTTATTAGACCTCCGCTGACATGTTGTCTCCAGTTCCCACGCTTTAGGAAGGACGTGGTCATATTGTAAAAGGACAAGAGAATCACAGAAATGCTTTAATGTCAGAACAGATAGGAAATATTTTTAAAAAATATTCTTTACTCTGGAGATAAGATGAGGGGGCAGGAGGGACATGCTAGTGTTCAAAACATTATAAAGAGGAGAGGGTGATAAATTGTTCTCCTTATCCACTGAAGACAGGATAGAAAGCAATGGATTTAAATTGCAGCAAGGTTAGATATTAGAAAAAAAAATCCTAAATAGTAGTTCAGCTCCGAAACAAATTACCTAGGAAGACTGTGGAATCTCTATCACTGTAGGTTGCTGAGAATAGGTCAGAGAAACATCTGATTAGGATGGTCAAAATAATCCTTCACCCTGCTTCAGTGCAGGGGACTAGGCAAGATGACATATTGAGATCCTTTATGGCCTTCCATTTTGATGATTCTGTTCCCTTCTTCTTCACTAGTCACTGACCAGAGACACTGTTAGTTCTGCTTCTCATCAGGACCATCCAGTACCTGTTAGGAGTAGAAGCTGAACATGCTTCACAGCAGCTACAAATATTTGTTTTACAGGTTCTATGAACGCATCTTAAGGGCTCTCAAACTCATTTTGAATGAAGAATAATAGCACAGCCTTGTGGCTTTTCTGTTTTTATAAGTAAATTGTAAGTATTATGATGTGGTTGACTAGGGTGATAAAATCCATTCTCCCCAGAAATTTGCTGACTTTGGCTTTTAATGATTTAAAATCAGTAGCATTGAATACAGGAGAAAAAAATGAGTTGGACTACAACTATCATTAATCTTTAGTAAAAGGACTGTGCTGTCGTTTGATGAAGTGTGATATTGAAAAACTTTCCCTGCTGTTAGTTCATTTTTAAAGCAGACTTTTTAATCAATAAGTAATTCTCAAGAGCCAGCATATGCTCAGTAGCCAGTGCATGTTTCCTTACCTAATAGGAAACATATAATTACTTCACTATAACTCATGTAATTATTTCAAAATGTAACCCAGGAGTGTGCAAACTTTTTGGCCCAAGGCTATGAAAATTGTATGGAGGGCAAATTGGGATTAAGTTGTCAGAAGGTGGGGATGTGGATTTTGGGGGAAAGGGGTTGGGATGCAGGAGGGAGTGAGGGCTCTGGCTGGGGGTGCAGGCTCTGGGGTGGGGCTACGGATCCGGGAGTTGGGGTACAGGCAGATGCTCCAGGCTAGAACCAAGGGATTTGGAAGGTTGGAGGGGGCTCTGGGCTAGGGCAGGAGGTTGAGGTGTGTGGGGGGGAGGGGACTCGGGGTACAAGCTCCAGAGCTTACCTCAAACAGATCCCAGAAGCAGTGGCCTTCTACTCTTACGTGGAGGTGCTGGCAAGTGACTTTGCATACTAACCCATCTGCAAGCACCACCCCTGCAGCTCCCATTGGCCATGTGAGGCACTATGCTTTAGTTCAGGTCTCCTTAGCCGAGGCAGCCTTTGGAATGATGGTCCTTCATTTAGCTCTGTCATCTGCATTCTTGCACTCCTCTCCCCATTTGAGCATTGTTTGTCAGTCACCTGTAGCGGAATACACACAGGCTGCGTCTAGACTGGCAAGTTTTTCCGCAAAAGTGCTTGCTTTTGCGAAAAACTTGCCAGCTGTCTACACTCGCCACTTTGAATTTGCGCAAGAACACTGACGATCTCATATAAGATTGTCAGTGTTCTTCCACAGATACAATGACTCTCCCGTTCGGGAAAAAGCCCTCTTGAGTAAATGCTTTTGCGCAAGAGGGCCAGTGTAGACAACTGAGAACCGTTTTGCATAAAAAAGCCCCGATGGCGAAAATGGCGATCAGGGCTTTCTTGCGCAAAACCGCGTCTAGATTGGCACAGACGCTTTTCCGCAAAAAGTGCTTTTGCACAAAAGCGTCCGTGCCAATCTGGACGCTCTTTTCCACGAACGCTTTTAACGGAAAAGCTCTTCCGTTAAAAGCATTTGAGGAAAATCATGCCAGTCTACACACAGCCATA